AAGGTTTATGTCTTTTATGGACTGTTGTATAACCCTTTGAAAATGAGATGAGAGACAAGATGCCAGTACCTGGCCTTGCCATCTCCTCCTGAATTTCAGATTCTTAACTGAAATGATTTTGAACTAATGGTAAACTAGACTGTACAGCATTATTAGCTCTAAACTGTAAATAACTCTTCTGCTATGTTGTGGAAGCTCCCATAAAAGTATAAGAATATACTGTGAGAGATACAGACATATATATATATCCATCCATTACCTATAGACCGCTTAATCCTCACGAGGGTCGCAGGGGGCTGGAGCCTATCCCAGCCGACTTAGGGCAAAGGCAGGGGACACCCTGGACAGGTCACCAGTCTATCACAGGGCTACACATAGAGACAGACAACCAAGCACACTCACATTCACACCTACGGACAATTTAAAATCACCAATTGACCTCAACATGTTTTTGGACTGTGTGGGAGGAAGCCAGAGAACCCGGAGAGAACCCACGCTGCACGGGGAGAACATACAAACTCCACGCAGAAAGATCCCGGTGTCCCCACCGGGACACAAACCAGTGACCTTCTTGCTGCGAGCCAACAGTGCTAACCAACTGTGCCACCCTGCAGCCCTCTCTGACATGTATTTATAAAATAATTTGCCTCTCATGCAGACTTTTTCTGGGGCAATTGGCTGGGCACATGACTCAGATTTGATGTTCAGTGATTTCGTGATTGGACACTTTGTGGAAATGAACAAGCGGACTATATTTGACCAGTTAGCATGTATGCTCTCTTGATATTAGGTGATGAAGGAAAGCTTTCAGGTCCCAGTGATTTAGCTGTACATGTTTCCGACCCCCTCACGTCTCCTGCATTTGCCATTACTGTTGCATGCTCATGACTTATCGTGCCTGAGCCTAGTTAGGGCGAAGGCAGAGGACATGCTGCACAGGTTGCCAGTCTACAGCAACATGAATTTGGACAGGTAAACACACTTCACTGCTTGGGCCATACAACAGCTTTAACAAGTGCTGGGTGTCAAAGCTAACCTTCATCCTCAAGCATCTGGGCAGACAGAGCATGGCAATCAAGCTGGGGTTGATATCCTAAAAAACTATGTGGCATTGAACCAAAAAGACTTAGCTGTCAAACTGCTCTTGTTGGATGATGGCCATCAAAGCTGACGTGGTGCCCCTAATGCAGTGAGTGCAATCTTAACCTTAAAATGTAGTTAAGCTACATATGTTCAATTAAATTCTGGTTTATTTATGTAGCATTAACCCCTTTGATGCTATAGCCTGATATACTGGGCTGGCATTACGAGATTAAGAGATTCAGTCGTGTAATAGAATATACAAATGAAGTAAAATGATGTCGTTTTACCCCAAAAATCACCAGAAAATGGGATTTTCGCTACCTCATTTCCGAAATGTTGATAAGCGATCAAAGCTAACTAATTACAAGACTTTGGCTGATGTCTCAGTATATAAGAACTAATAATTAATTGCATATATCCCCTAAATATGAAGTTTACCATTACCTTTTCGTTTTCACACCTGTATTTCACCTGTACGTATAAGACAAGAGTAAACTTCCATATATATTTAACCGTCAATTTGTCTACTTTTGATTGATACCAGACTGCTTAATCAAAACCATATCTGACCATGAATTTCAAACAAAGTTGCTTAGTGTTGAAGGGGTATTTCAAGCCAAAGATACTTAGTGTTGAAGTGTATAAGAAATACACATTTAGTGTTGAAAGGGTTTAACAAAATACAGTGTAAACAAACGTTTACATAGACTTACAAAGACCATTTAGGGGAGAGTGGTTAAAGATGAGCCTGTGGCTTAGTTGAGCCACCCCTTGTTTCAAGAAAACCAATGGACAAATTGGCCATGTGACCAAACATTTTTGAAGAGGTATCTACTATACCCTTCCAGTGAAGAGAATGAGCATATGAAGTACGAGGGGAGCACATTTTAGTTTACAAAACTGTTTTTTGCTGTTCAAAGTAAATTTTTCATGTTTATGGTTTTCTGAGTGTTGTTTCTGAACAATTATTGAGACAAACAATTTCAAAGATGTTTTAGTGCATTGGTAAGCTACAATCTGAGACTAAACTGTAAGCATGAAGTTAGCTCTGAACTGCATGGATGATGCACTTTTCTTAAAATGGTGGCAGTGGGGTTAGTTGAGCCAAAAGGCTGGGGTTAAGTTAAGCCACTGGTTCCATCTGGGTGGAAGGGCAATTTTCACCTTCAAGGAGAAGGATGAAGGAATCATCCATAGACAGAAGGAGATCAAGAAACTACTAACACCTCAAAAACTAGGGGGAAGTGCCAGAAGAGAGCAGAAATTTGTATTCCCTTGCAGTGTGGATTAGTGGCATGTTGAATAGTTTCCCCGTTGTGTGAGGAAAATTGGCTGTTACCTTGCAATACCAACAGGTGGCATAGTTTGATTGCGAACACCTCAACTCGGTGCTTTTGGTAGCCATCCACTTGTTGAATCATTGACCACTCCTCTTGACAGACTTGCAGTTCAACTAAATTTACTGAGCCAAGGTGTCACTTGAGGTGCTGCTTCTAGAGCAAGAGCTCCTTTCTTGCACTGCAGCCTCTCAGCTCATGGCAATGTAACAAACGGCTGAGGACACTGGCGGAAAAGTTCACTCCTGACTATCTCATATTGGTCAGATTTTTTTGTTCATGTCATTAGATAAAATGTGTAAAAATTTTGATTAAAGAGTTAACATTTTTAAAGAGGGGTGGGATCTTCAGTGGTACATCCCTGCTTTGATAGAATAATACAAATTTAGTAAAACTGTTGACTTGAACAAGTCAGGAAAGCCATTTCAAAGAAGCTGCATTGATGGTGTAAGTTTGGTCAAACAATGTCCATGTTTTTTCTATTCTGATAATCCACCAACTGTGAATTTTTTGTTTTTCACCTTAAAAGACTGGCTTTTTACCCCCTGTGATTGCCACCAATAGGAGCTTTGGAATGTAGAGTATGGTTTGTCTCTCACCTCAATTTGCCTTGTTCACTGAACTAAGTACCAAGTTAAACCTTCAAAAACAAAATAAAATCTTCAGATCAGACACTACGTCAAGAAAATTCAATTCAATTCAAATAACTTTATTTATATTAGGTTTATTTTATTTATTTAAAAAGTTCCCCCAATTCGAATCCGCCTCGGCCACCCATCCTTTTTATGAATACTTTCTGCTTAATTCAGAATAGAAACATTCAGTAACAATATTTGTGAATTGTTTGACCATGTCTGCTTCTTTAACCCCACACACGAGAACATTGCTTTTCTTTTATCAAACAATACAGACTCATTTAGTATGAAGTGATGCATAACTCAAAAGCAAAACTGAACCGCATCATCCCATCAGTGTCCTCTCAGTGTAATGAGTAATGTGTAATGCAGTTTGTCTGCTAGTGGCTCATTAGCACATCTTTTGTGGTTATCGATAGCGGCTGTGGCTCAGGTGGTAGAGCGGTTGTCCTCTGATCGTAAGGTTGTCGTTTCAGTCCCTGGCCCCTTCACAGTTGAAGTGTCTTTGGGCAAGACATTCTGAGTGCCGCTAAGGTAGATAAGTGCAATGTAAGTGCAGTCCATTTACCGTTTACCATATGGAATAGAGGGCTGCAAGGTGGCGCAGTTGGTAGCACTGTTGCCTCGCAGCAAGAAGGTTGCCGGTTCACGTCCCGGTGGGGGCACCGGAATCTTTCTGCGTGGAGTTTGCATGTTCTCCCCGTGCAGCGTGGATTCTCTCCGGGTTCTCTGGCTTCCTCCCACACAGTCCAAAAACATGCTGAGGTTAATTGGTGATTCTAAATTGTCCGTAGGTGTGAATGTGAGTGTGCTTGGTTGTCTGTCTCTAAGTGTGGCCCTGCGATAGACTGGCGACCTGTCCAGAGTGTCCCCTGCCTTCGCTCTAAGTTGGCTGGGATAGGCTCCAGCCCCCCATGACCCTAATGAGGATTAAGCGGTGTATAGATAATGGATGGATATGGAATAGGAGTAGAATGGAATAGAATAGAAATACCAAAATTAGGTGCAATCTCATTCAGTGCAAAGAAGCAATGATGATGATGCCAGCCACCCTCTGCACACTGTCATCATTGCCCAGAGGAGCCAGTTCAGTGACAGGCCTCTCCAGGTGCAAAACTAACAGGACCAAAAACTCCTTTGATTCCGCGAGGAATCAAACTGTTCAACTCTGAGCTCAGGGGGAGGGGGAGGAGCAGCAAGCAGGGAGAGGTAGGGAGCGAGGGGTGAGGAGTGAGGACATCGGGGTGAGATAGAGCATCATGCTCTATCACCAGACTGTGTGGGATATTTAGGCACTTTCGCAATTTTGTATTGTATCCATCATTATTATTATTACTACTATTATCAGAATAATTATTACTAATGTTGTGTTGGTGTTGTGTTGTTGTTGCTCGTACAATTTCCCTGAGGTTCATACCAAAGGGATCAATAAAGTTCTATCCATCTTTCTATCCATATCCCACCACTGCTATTCTGATGAGTCCCTGTTGTATGTCACTTACCATGTGCACTGACAATCTACTCTATCTGCCATACCACCTGCAACCAAGGACTGGATGCCTGGTACTTTCTTACAATTGAATACAGAAAAACTGAAGGCCTTATTAATTGTCCTGTCCACATTTCCTGCATTCGCTTTTAAAAACCCACCTGTACAGTCAGAGAAAAAAACATTTTATTCCCTCTTTGTTTATTGCTTTTTTCAAAGTTGCACTGTCTGTACTCAGAGTTTTATGTCTTATTTTTTCCTGTTTTTTAATGCTTTGTATATTTTAATGTTTTTTTAAGTTCTTTGTATCTCCAGTTTTAAAAAGATGCTATAGAAATACAGTTTCTTTACATACTATTATAAAAATGTAACCCAACATACCATTTTAAATATGAACACATTATACTCTATTTTATTACATCCTTATACAAAAGAAAACCCTATGACAAAGAGAAATAAATTCAAGAGTTTTCTTTATTAAGGTAAAACACAGTAGTTTTCATGCCCAAACACTATGAGGAAGTCTTTCTCTAATGGGATGTGCACATGTCAGCGTGTTTAGGTATGTGCATATTAAAGCTCAAGGTCAATCTTGACATCCATCTTGGTTTTGTATGGCTCTAGCAGTGGGCGCACTTCCTCTGACAAAAACCTGGCAACCTGGAGAAGAAAAGGACCAGGAAGAAGAAAAGAAAAAAAGGGAAAATGTTACACACCATTAGTTTTTGCAGCTTTAGCATCCATAAGAAATAGTCAGAGCTAGGCAGCCACGGCGCTGTATGTGATATACACTTGCTCGTACACTTAAAAGCAGCTAGAATAAAGAAAAGAGATGTGTACCTGTTGTGGGGCACGGCCAATAAAGGTTTTGGGGTCTAGCAAAGCATCTAGCTGGTCCAGGATGGGTTTGAAGTAGGGGTCTCGCTGTACCCTGGCCAGTAGGTCATTGTCACCACCCTCCTGTTTAACAACAGCTGCTGCCTCTTGGGATAGAACACGGATCTTCTCATGGCAGTCCTGAAAGAGAGGTTTAAGAAAAAAAAGATAGAGATTCACAAAGAAAAGACAGTCTAACCACAGCTTTTGAGGCCCTTTTATACAGTTCATTAAGTCGCATGTTTTTTTCCCCCCTCTATCTATTGTGTGTCACATGTGTGGGCTACTGGATGCCTTGAGTTTCCCCAAGAGAATGGATTACCTATCTATCTATCTATCTATCTATCTATCTATCTATCGTCACAGCAGCAAAGTGACAGTAAGAAAAACAAGACAAGTGTAAATTAAAGAGGCGAGTTATATACACTATATATACACAATATAAATGTGAAAATTGAAGAACACAAGGATAATTAGAACACAAATTTAAGAATATTTGCATGAATGAGTTGCACTTTTTAATTGTCATGATGCGAGTGTGTGTGTGGTCTGTTTGGAGCAGTGCTGATTAGAAAGTCTGATACCAGCAGGAAGGATGGACCTGCTGTACCGCTGGATTCACACACCTGGGGCTGGCACAGTCTGTTGCTAAAGGAGCTGCCCGGTGCCCTCAGAGAGTCATGCATGAGGTGGGAGCTGTTAGCTTGGTTAACATCCTCCTTTCTCCCACCACCTGCACTGGGTCCATAGAGCTCCCCAGGACAGAGCTGGCCCAGCAGACCACTCAATAGTCATTGCTGACTTGTTCAGTGAGCAACATCTGTCACACAACACCTTTTCCTACCTGTCTGTTTCCTCCAGCCTTAACCATTGCCACAATGATGTTCTCTGTGGCCATGAAGGGCAGCTCATGGCGAATATGCCTCTCAATGACTTTGGGGTAGACCACCAGACCCTCTGTGATGTTCTGCAGAGTGCTGAGGATGATGTCTGCAGTCAGGAAGGACTCAGGCAGTGAGATCCTCCTTCATATGAGCAAGGAAGTGAAAAAAGTGAATATGTACAGTAGGAGAAAAACCCAGAGAAAATCATTATTGAATAACAATATGGGCTGAAAAGAACACCAGATTATTTAATATATGACAAAAATTAAATCTTGACTATTGTAAAGGGCACAGACTGTCTACTACTGGGCATTATTGCATGTTTTTGAACTAAATGTGACATCCACTTCATGAGTTCACAGAAGAAACTGGCAAATTCATGAATAACATAGGGTGAAAATGTATGTCTGTGATAACCGACCTGTTGGCACTGTCGTCCAGGCTTCTCTCCAACCACTGCACGGACGCTGTCTGCAGAGGGTCAGCAATTAGTGCAACCAGATGTCGAGCCAAGCTACAGCAACGCTCTGCACGCATGGGATTCCTCTTGTAAGGCATAGCACTGGAACCTACAGGGAAGACAACTTCATTCTAAGGTACAGTTTGTACTGTTAAAGTGTAATGTGCTGTTGAATTTTAGAATGTGACACAGTTGTGTAAAATTGTGTAAATCACTGAAGATACCAATCTGCTCTTTCTCAAAAGGCTCCTCAAGCTCCTTCAGGTTGGCCAACAGGCGGATGTCTGTGCAGATCTAAAGCAAATAGGCAATTTAAAGATGAGCATCAACATCCATTATCTATACACCACTTAATCCTCACTAGGGTTGCAGGGGGGCTGGAGCTGAGTTAAGGCGAAGGCAGGGGACACTCTGGACAGGTCGCCAGTCTATAGCAGGGCTACACTTAGAGACAGACAACCAAATACACTCACATTCACACTTACGGACAATTTAAAATCACCAATTAACCTCAACATGTTTTTGGACTGTGTCGGAGAAAGCCGGAGAACCCAGAGAGAACCCACGCCGCACGGGGAGAACATACAAACTCCAAACAGAAAGATCCCCACCGGCGACCTGCTTGCTGCAAGGCAACGACACTAACCACCGTTCTACCTTGCAGCCCTGAGCATCAACAATTAATCTAAAATCTTATATTCTACTATCAGATGATATGAGCAGGTTTACATAGTGATGTGCTCAAGACTGAACTTCTAATGAATGGATTGATGGATGGATGGATGGCTAACAATAATAATAATAATAATAATAATAATAATAAAAGATGATAGGCATAATGAGAGGAAGAACAAAAACCACAGGCTCTACAACATCAAATCAGTGTGAGCACAAACAAACCGAGCCAGAGTATCTCATGCCCAGATGCCAATCAGTTTAATATTGATAAAAATGTCAAGACTAATAATAATTCTAATACTAATACCAATAATATCCATCCATCCATCCATCCATCCATCCATCCATCCATGTTCTTCTGCTTTATCTGGAGTCGGGTTGCGGAGGCAGCAAAGAAAAAGAAAATTGCACAACCGCTTTTGATAAAAGTTGTGACTTGATAGAACTGCACATGTAACTGTTAAGAT